GGGGGCTCTTTTGAGCCTCTGCAGCTTTGCTTGTGCTGCTTCCTCCGAAGCTGGGCACCCCACCATTTCCTCAGGCTCACCTCCCCTCATCCTCCAGGGTTGCTCCAGCTCACTCTGCTCAAGGCTGAAGAGGCACTGTTGCTGTTCAGTCGTGTCTGACTCTGTGACCCCATGGACTACAGCACGCCAGGTTTCCCTGTTCTTCACTACCTCCTGGAGCTTGCTCAAATGTCCATTGAGTCGATGATGCCATCCAACCATCTCATCCTCTGTTGCCCCCTTCTCCTCCTGCCCTGAGTCTCTCCCAGCATCAGGGTCTTTTCCAGTGAGTCAGCTCTTGGACAGCAAGGAGATCAAACCAGTCCACCCTAGAGGAAATCAACCCTGAATAATCATTGGCAGGACTGATGCTGAAGCTGAAGCTGCAGTACTTTGGCCACCTGATGTGAAGGGCCAAAGAGGTGCTGGGTCCACGTTTTCATGGCCCCAGTCCTCACCACTGAAGCCTGAGAAGATCAAGGTCTGCCCAGGATCATGTATCAGTTAGAGGTAGAGAGGAGGGGGAGCCCGCTTGTGGTGGGAAGAACAAGGACCTCAAAAATGCTCACAGCCTAGTTCCCAGGAACGGGTAACGTTTCATCACACAGCAAAGGGCCCTTGCATGTGTGACCGAGTTAAGGATCTTGGAATGGGAAGGTGGTCCTGGGCCACAGGGCAGCTCCATCACGAGGGAGGCAGGAGGGCCAGCATCAGGGGCGGAGATGTGGTGATGGAGGCAGAGGTCAGGGAGGCGGAGGGACTTGCAGATGATGAGCTGTTGGTTCTGAGGATGCAGGAAGGGGTACCAGGCAAGGAACCGGACGAGGCAGGGAGGCTGTGTCCCCTGGAGACTCCAGAAAGAGCCAGACCCGTGTGACCTTGACTTTGGCGAGACTCGGGTCAGACTCAGGCTTCTAGAGCTTCAAGACCAAGTGTCAGTGGCTGAAGTGGCCGAGCTGGTGGCCTTTGCTGGGGCAGCCCTGGAGGCCAGTGATGATCTCCTCACTGTGTTGCTCACTGGGGGCCGTGTCCTCCCGCCCGGTCCCCCAGTCTTCCCGGGTCCCTTCGCCCTGCAGCGTCCCCTGGGCACACGGCCTGTGCTGACTCTCCCTGCCCCTCGTCCTGTGCAGTCCTCACGGCGAGAGCAGCCCTGTCTCCGCCGGGGTCCCAGAGGCCGTGAGTCCAGCAGTTTGAACTCAGGCCCGCCTGGATGCTAGGCTCGAGGTACGCTAGCCCATGGAGGGAGGGGCAGGCAGGGCTGGAACAAGTGACCACGGACTGGAGGCTTCCCATGCCAGGCACCAGTTCCCTCCTCGTTCTGGGGCCAGAACCCACCTTCAAGGTGGGGGGGGGGCTGTGTTCCCGTTGGAGGCTCTGGGGGAGGGTCCCTCCTTGTCCCCTGCAGGTTTGGGGGCTCCAGGTGCTCCTGGGATGAGGCTGCATCATCAGTCCCTGCCTCGGGCACCACATGGCCGCCTTTTCCCACCCTGTGTGCCTCTTAGTCCCTCATAAGGACACCTGACCTAGAAACCCAGGACTTAGTCACACTGCAGACTGACTCTCCACCTAAGGTCACGTTCACAGGCCCGGGGACCAGGACATGTTTTATTTTAAGGGCCGCTGTTCCACCTACTCCAGATGAGGTGCTCCAGAAAGGGGTGAGGCTGGGGGCAGCCTGGGCTCTGGACTCTGAGGCTCTCAGGACAGGGCCAGGTCCCCTCAGTGGCCGGTGGCTCAGCCCTAGGAGCAGGGAGTCAGGCTTCTGGAGTGATGTTCCAGCCAGTGAGCAGGGTAGGGATGCAGGCGAGTATTTCAGAACCGCGTCTGCAGGCAGAGGAACGAGAGGAGAACGTGTCCTTGAGGGTCACACAGTCACGGCCCCGCCCCGTCCCCACCATGAGTGCCTGGACGCTCAGCCTCCTGAGCCTCTGTCTCCGCGTCTCCAGACTGCAGTAGCATCGCCCTCCCCTCCCTGTTGCCCCAAGTTTGTGACGAGTTGACGGACTCAAGGCCCTAAAACAGCCAGTGAGCCACCCGTGTGGCAGGCACACACTCAGGTGTACACGCGGTGTACACGCAGCCGCACTCAAGGCAGCCGCGCACACAGGTGTACACACGGCGTACACACAGTCGCACACACACCCATCACAGGAGGTGCCCACACCTGCGCTCTCCCTTCCCTTCTTCACGTGTCCGTTCTCTCTGCCCGCTGTGTGGTCACCCAGAGGAGAGGGCGGGCCCTCAGCCCGGCTGGTTTCAGCGGCCCCCCCGGCGGGCGGCAAGGACGGGCGGGCACTGTGGTCCAGAGGCCATCCAAGCGGAGGGCTGCGGGCGGGGCTGCTGGGTGTGGATGCGGTGGGCCAGACCCGCCCAGGCCGCGAGGGTGTCCCGGGTACAGGCTGGGGGGCTGTGGCTCTGGGGAGACGAGGGTCTGAGAGAAGCTTCTGGGGGAGCCTGTGAGCGGCAGGGCAGGCGGCAGTGGGGCCGGGGCAGCGCTGCGGGACACCAGGTGCCCACTGCCCGCAGAAGCCCCGTGGGGCCGTCCCCTGGTTCCAGCCCCATGACGGGGGGCATTGCGGCTGCAGGGGAGGCTGGGGAGGTTCCCACCGGGCCCGGCCCTCACCATCCAGCAGGGACCTGCCAGCTGCTTCCCGTAATGGCCGCTGAGACCAGAGGCTTCGGCCGGACGGGCTCACCTGCAGGTCCTAGGCCTTGCTTGCCAAGGGTGCTACCGCCCTGGGAACTTGCTAGAAAGGCAGACCCTCAGCCTCACCCAGATGGGCAGCATCGGGAGCTCTGGGTCACGGCCTGAGGTCTGTACCTCTGGGTGGGCTGCCGTGTGCTCCAGCTTGAGACCCCTGCCCCAAGCTGCCGGTCAGGGCTGCTGCTCAGAGCCCCTGTGGGAGCTCAGCCGGCCTCCTTCAGACCCCCTCGTCCGTGGGCTCCTCCAGCTCTGCGGGGAGCCCTGGCCGAGGCCTGGAAGCGCTGTAGGGATAAACAGCTTTATCTCGAAAGGCCATTCCATGTCCAAGCCAGGAGGGCTTCTCACGCAGTCTTCTCTAGAAAACAGGAGCTTAGCACATCAGCTGGAGAAAAGATTCGTTTAAAAATATAAAAAGAAGAAAAGAGCAGGTGAGAGTGTTTACTCACTGGCTGCCACGCAATGGGTCCTGTCACTGAGGTCCACGTGCGTGCAGTGTAGACGCAAGCGGATTCGAGCGGATTCCTCCCCTTGAGGACCAGAGTTCAGGACCTGCCCCGCCTCCCACCCCCATGCACCCTGGCCTGCTTCCCTGGAGTGCCTTTCCTTGGTGAAGCATTCTTTAGAGTGAGGGCGCCTTCAGGAATGGCTTGCTCAGGCACGCCAGCACTCTGCTCTGCTCTGCGCCCTCCCCATTGTTGGCTGACTGCCCTGTTATCAGGGGAGGCCGCTCAGGGCCACTGTCCACCTGTCGAAAAGCCTTGCTAAGTGTTTTCACAAGATCTCAAACCAGCATCCAACCCCGAGAGGATTCACCAGAACTCTGTATTTCCACTTGTCTTCCTGTTGAAAAATTAAGAGAGTTGGCCGTCCTCGGCCTGGCTGTCCGCGGGGCACAGCCCAGGGGGAGGGAGCAGGCCGTCCGCGGGGAGGGCCAGTGCTGCCTGGCGCCTCATGGTCCCGGCTGCCCTCTGTGCCCCCGTGCCTGGGTCAGCCGCCAGCCTGGGCTCCTGGGTCTGCCACGTCCCCTGCAGGCGCTGGGTGGCCAACACCGAGTCCATGGCTCTGGTGCCAGACGGGGAGCTTGTACCTGGGGGCCGCAGAGGAGCAGCCGACGGTGTGGGGGCGAGGGAGGGCGGGCAGGAGGCGCGGGGGCTTCTTGGCAGAGGTGAAGACTGGCAGGGCGGGCGGAGGACAGTCTGAGGCCCCCCTGATGGGCCTGGGGAGACTGGGCCAGGCCAAGTGCCCACGTCTGTGACAGTCCCTCATGCATATAGTGGCGGGCCATGGGGTCCCTGGTGTGATGGCAGGAGCATGGCCCTGGAGGAAGGGGACAGGTGGACCTGGCTTCAAACCTCCACTCTGCTAGTGAACTGTCTGTGTGGCCTCGGACGGTTATTCACCTTTCCTGAGCCTCAGTGTTCTCACCTGTAGAATGGGATGCGAACTACTTTATTTATTTACTTGGCTGTCTGCAGATACCTTTACTTTGGGGCAGTCTCCAAAACCAGATCCTTTCTATGCATCAAATGTTTTCTTTTCTTTTTAATAATTTTTTAAAGCCAAGAACGAAGAAGCTTATTTACTTATGATGTCAGTCCGACGTTGTAATTAATGTACACTGGATTTCATTTTTTTTTTCAGGCTTGGACCCACTTCCCATACTATTTTTTATTAATTTTTATTTAATATTGGAGTCGAGTGACTAGCATGTTGGGTTAGTTTCAGGGGTACAGTAGAGAGGTTCAGTTGTACAAATATATCCAGGCGCCAGGCCAGAGCTCAGGAGGTGCATACAGCCTATCCACGGAGGGCCGTGGGGCTCGGGGTGGCCCCTCACCTTCACGGGTCTGTCCACAGGCTCCCTGTTTAACCAGCAGGTCAGATGGGGGCCACCCCCCGAGCCCTGGGCTTGGGTGGCTGGTGTTTGCCCCCTGACTCCTGGGCCTGGAGGGGACAGCCTGCCCCGCCCCAGTCCCGGCCCCGGCCCGGCCCCGCTCCGGCCCCGGCCCCGCCCCGCGCCCCCGCCCCGCCCCCGCCCCCGCCCCCGCCCCCGGCTCGGCCCCGCCCCGGCCCCGCTCAGGCCCCGGCCCCGCCCCGCCCCGCCCCAGTCCCGGCCCCGCCCCGGCCCCGGCCCCGCCCCGCCCCGGCCGCCTGCTCTGGGAGGCTGTCTGTTCACACAGTGCACACACTCAGAGACGGATCGGCCTCAAAGCCAGAGCACGAGAACAAGTGAATATTTGTTGCAGAAACTCTTGCGATGTCCAGTTTTACTGTGAGTGCCTTTGCTCCCCCACGCCCTCCACCCCATCCCCGCGTCCCCCCCAGATCCAGTAGCCAGGAGGTGACCTCCAGCTCTGTCCTGCGGGGGCGATGGGCCCCCATGATGCCCCACGTCATCCCGTCCAAGGTCCTCGTGGAAGCGCTGCCCGCCCCTCTGTTCCCGGGGATTCCCAGCCCCCTCTTCACCCAGCCGCCCAGAGTTCCCGGGCAAACCCCGAGGGCGAGGGGCTGGGCGGAGCCCCGGAATGGGGCTCTGGAGCCCGCATCCTGACTCAGAGTTTTCCCGCTGTAAGCCTGCAGTTTGCTCTGGAAGGACTTGTTGAGAACCTATGGAATCCTCTCCCTTTAGGTCCTGCAGATGTCCTCCTGTATTTTCTCTTTAAAGCTTCTGCAGGTTTCTTTGGCCACAGGGGCCTGTCCTCCAGCAGAAGCGGACTTGCGTGTGCTGTGCGCGGCAGGGCCCGTGGGAGCAGCCGCTCCCGGGGCTGCTGACGGCACACGTTGCACGGCGCACACATCTCTGAGTCGCACGCCTTGGGTTTCTGGTCAGCTTTCCACGTGGTGTGGAGAGTGCAGCCCGGCGGGCTTGGCCATGGAGGAAAACGCTGCCCAGGAGGGGACGCTGGCTTCTGGACTGTGTCCTGTAGATCTTCATCAACCGTAAAGGGGACTTATGCTGGGGTCTCAGCGTGGCGAGTCTGGGGACCTAAAAAGCCTTTAAAGTTAAAGTGAAGTTGCTTAGTCGTGTCCGACTCTTTGCAACCCCAAGGACTGTAAACTCTCAGGCTCCTCCAACCATGGGATTCTCCAGGCAAGCATACTGGAGTGGGTTGCCATTTCCTTCTCTGGGGGATCTTCCTGACCCAGGGATCGAACCGGAGTCTCCTGCATTGCAAGCAGAACCTTTACCATCTGAGCCACCAGGGAAGCCCATCAAGGCATAAAAGGCCTTTATGAGGAGATTATTGACAACTCGGAGATTCCTCGTTGAAAGACAGCAACGCCATCTGCTACCATCGCCACCGGCCCAGTGTGTCCCCAGCCAGGAAGCAGGAGGCCTGCATTCCTGCTTAGCACGCACAGTGCAGCCTGACTGGCTGCAGCATTAGCAGAGAATATATCATTATTTGAACTTATAAAAGCAGCCTGTTCCTGCCATAAACTATTTTAGCCAAAGCCTCCAGCCCCACACTCTTCAGGACTGTGTCCGGGGTCAGATTTTATTTTATATTTTGTGCATGAACACTCAATGCAGCAACATTTGCGGAATAATTCATTTGCTCCCTACTGATCTGTGCTTTGCTTGCTGTGTACTGGGCTGATATCGATTGGATGTTGGTGTTGTACATGGAAAACTGTAAAATTTGTTTTAAGCCTGGGATCTTTATCATCTTCTTCTGGAGAAGATGTCCTAAGCTACTGGCTGGAACAGGGGTCCTTGGAGCCCAGGGTCCTACCTTCCTCTCTCTCCGAGACTGTGGTTGGGAGCTGGGCTCTCCTTCCTGGACGGTTTGGCTCTTTATTGCTCCCAAGTATTGGGAGGAAGGGGTCCCCATCTCTCTGTTAATTCCAGATTTTCTTTGGTATGTGAGTCTGTTTCTCTGCAGTGTGTACTGTCCCACTGGCTTATTTTCTGTCCCTGTGTGAACATCGCTCTGTTCTGGGGCAGGATAAAGCCCATTCCTTGTTTTCTACATCAGGATTTCCTCAGCTGGTTCTGAGTCTTTCTTCCTCCAGACGGATTCTAAGGGGAGAGCTTATGAGATTCCACAAAGCACCCCGTTGGAGTTGGATCAATGTTGTGATAAAAGCCTTGGCCGTGGAGATGTGCCATCTTCCTGATGTTGACCCTTCCCCTGAACAACACAGCTCTTTCCAGCTTAATCACGGTGTCTTAAGCATCCTGATCACACGTGTAAGAAAAGAATAGGTTTCATTTTTAAAAACAGTTCTAGCTTTACAGGAACACAGAGTAGAGAGTATGGAGCATTTCCATATACCTCTCCCCCATCATCCCTATTTTTGTAATGGTGTGTGAATGTGGTACATTTGTTACCATTGACGAACCCATAGATATTTTTAAAAAATATTTATTTATTTGGTTTCCCTGGGTCTTAGTTGAAGCTGCTGCTGCTGCTGCTAAGTTGCTTCAGTCGTGTCCAACTCTGTGCGACCGCATAGACGGCAGCCCAGGAGGCTCCCCTGTCCCTGGGATTCTCCAGGCAAGAACACTGGAGTGGGTTGCCATTTCCTTCTCCAGTGCATGAAAATGAAAAGTGAAAGTGAAGTCGCTCAGTCGTGTCCGACTCTTCGTGACCCCATGGACTGCAGCCTACCAGGCTCCTCGGTCCATGGGATTCTCCAGGCACGAGCACTGGAGTGGGTGCCATCGCCTTTTCTGTTGGTTGAAGCATGTGGGATCTTTTTAGTTGAAGCATGTGGGATCTTTTTAGTTGGGGCATGTGGGATCTAGGCAGAAGCATGTGGGATCTTTTTAGTTGGGGCATGTGGGATCTGGGGACTTCTCTGCTGGTCCAGAGGCTAAGACTCCACACGCCCAGTGCAGTGGGTTCTGATCCATGGTCAGGGAACTAGACAAACTAGATGAATTCATATTGATACAACCCCTGGCAACTGTGACCCCCCCCCCACTTTTTTTTTTTTTACCTGCAAAGCCTGTCTCTTCCAGAATGTCCTATAGTTGGAATCATCCAGTATACAACATTTTCAGATTGGCTTCTTTCTTGTCTTACTGATTTTGCTACCAATTCTAGTACAGTGTTAAATAGGAGTGTGAGAGGAAAAATTCTTGCCTAGGTCCTGATCTGAGGGGGTAAGCATCTAGTTTCTCAGTATTAAGTATGATATTAGCTATAAGTTTTCTTTTGCAGATATACCTCATCAAGTTGAGGAAATTTCCTTCTATTCTTAGTTTACTGAGAGTTTTTATTATGAATGGAGGTTGAGTTTTGTCAAAAGAGTTTTCTGTATCTATCGATATGATCATCAATCACACCAGTGATGCAGTGACTTATATCTCTGTATATCTGAAAGAAATGCCACTCAACTGTGCCACTCACATTGTTGGATTCAGTTTGCTAATATTTTGTTGACGGTTTTTGTATCTTTGTTCACAATGCATGTTGGCCTGTAGCTGTCCTTTCCTGTAATGTCTTTATCTGGTTTTAGCCTCAGTGCAATGGTAACCTCATACACTTAATTAGGAAAGTGTCCATCCGCTTCCATTTTCTGGAAGAACTTGGTGAGGACGTGTATTGTTTTTTGCTTATATGTTTGGTAGAATTCACCAGTGAAACAAGCGGCTTTAGTGCTTTCCTTTTTGGAATGTTATTAATTATTGATGCATTTTATTATAATAGATTTAGATTCAGATTGTCTATTTCCTCTTGCGTGAGTTTTGGTGTTTTTTATCTTTCAAAGAATTGGCTTATTTCATCTATGTTATTAAGTCTGTGGGCACAGTGTTGCTTGTAATGTTCCTTTATTATCCTTTTATGTCTCTGGGATCAGTAGTGATGACTCCGCTTTCATAACTGATATTAGTGGTTCGTGTCTTCTCTTTTGTTCTTTGTCAGCTTCACTAGGTCATTTTAGATAGGTTCCCTATTTCCTCTTCATTTGTTAGGTAGTCATATAGTTTTTTACCTTGCTCCTTCATGTGTAACATATTTTTTTGTCGTTCCATTGTTTTTTTATTTTTTCTGATGGGTGGGACTGTGTTCCTGTCTTACTAGTTGTTTGACCTGAGGTTTCCAGCCATGCAAGTTGCGGGCAGTTGGGTAGAGCCGGGTCTTGGCGTAGAGACGTGGACCTCTGGGGTTCGTCACTCTAACTATTTCTCGGGTCCTGGGGTTCTCTGTTACTCCAGCAGTGCAGACACGGCGCTCTAACCTCAGGGGCTCAGACCTGATCTCTGGCCTGTGAACCGGGATCCCAAAAGGGAAAGAAAAGGAGGAAAAAATTAAATGAAAAATAAAGAGAGAAAAAAAAAAAAGGCAGAACAAAAAATCAGGAATATAAAATAACAACCCCTGGTCGCCCCTGGGGCTCTCCCGTCTGCCTGGCCGCTGGCTGTCCCCCATTAACCCCTGGTAAGCCTTCTAGGCATGCGGAGGCACGAACCCCATGTCTTCCCTCACCACACTCTCAGCTAGATCATTTTAATAATCTTTTCAAGAACCAATTTTTGATTTCATTGATTTTTTTTCTATTTGTTTCCTATTTCCAATTTCAGTGATACCTGCTCTAAATTTTATTTGTTTAATTTTTCCCCTTGCTTTAGGTTTGATTTCTTCTTGCTTTAGGCTTATGCTGCTTTTCTTTCTTTAGTTTCCTCAGGTGGAAGCTCAGACTATTCATTTGAAATTTTGCTTCTTTTCTAATACTTATCAATGCCATAAATTTCCCTTTAAATGCTTTTTAAAATTATATCCCACACATTTTGATACATTGTATTTTTATTTTCACTTCAGTTCAGTTCAGTCCCTCAGTTCTGTCCGTCTCTGTGACCCCATGGACTGCAGCACGCCAGGCCTCCCTGTCCTTCACCAGCTCCTGGAGCTTGCTCAAACTCATGTCCATCGAGTCAGTGATGCCATCCAACCATCTCATCCTCTGTCATCCCCTTATCCTTTTGCCTTCTGTCTTTCGCAGCATCAGGGTCTTTTCCAGTGAGTCAGTTCTTCCCATCAGGTGGCCAAAGTATTGCCGTTTCAGCTTCAGCATCAGTCCTTCCAGTGAATATTCAGGACTGATCTCCTTTAGGATGGACTGGTTTGAGCTTGTGAGAGTCCAAGGGACTCTCAAGAGTCTTCTCCAACACTACAGTTCAAAAACTATTTTCAGTTAGTTCAATATATTTTAAAATGACTCTTGAGACTTCTTGAGGAAGACTCAAAAGTAATATAGAAGTTACTTAATTTCCAAATATTTTGAGATGTTTCAGCTTTCTCTTATTGATTTCTAATTGGAGTCCATATGATTTCTATTCTTTTAAATTTCTTAAAGTGTGTTTCATGGGCCAGCATGGGATCTGTCTTGGTGACTGTTTCATGTGAGGTTGAATGGAATGTGCCTCTGCTCTGTTGGATGACCCATTTTATCAATTCCAGTTAGACACAACTGATTGATGGAGCTATTTAGTTCAACCATATACTTACTGATTTTCTGACGGCTGGATCTGCCCTTTACTGATAGAGGGATGAAGAAGTTCTTTAAGTCTTTGTTTGTCTGAAAAAGGCTTTATTTTTCCTTCACTTCTAAAAGATAATTTCTCTGCCTGGAATTCTAGGTTGCTTTTTCTTTCAACACTGCGGACATTTCATTCCACTCTCTTTTTGCTTGCCTGGTTCCTGGTGAGACGTTCGATATAATTACTGTTCATGCTCTTTGAAAGGCAAAGTGTGCTTATTATCTGACTTATTTCAAAATTTTTTCATTGTTTTTTATTTTGCATAAGATACGCCTGGTGGAGATTTTGTGCTGTGTATTATGCTTGGTGTTCTCTGAGATTCCTGGATCTGTAGTTTGATGTCTGTTATTAACTTTGGAAAATTCTCAGCCTTTTTTATTTCAAATATTTATTCTGCTTCTTTCTGTCTCTTCCTTTCCATATCCCCATTGCACATGACTCACAACTTTATA